AGAACTTTTCTTTGATCTGCCTGGAGAGAACCCTCCCTGTGGAGAACCCTCCCTGTGGTAGATTTAAATTTTGTGAGAAATATAACACTTCAAACAGCTTTCATTGTTTAAATTCTACAGAAGTTTGCATAAAACCAAAAGATGAAATCTATGTTCCAGTAAAACAGCCCCTTGAATTATTTTCTAAATTTCATGAAACCTCTTTTTCACCAGTATTTCTAAATAAAAGAAAAATTATCCCACACATTACAAGTTTCCATTTACGTGATGTCCAAGAACAGGCAAAACTAACCCATAATGGTATGTGTTAGAATAATGGTTACGTCTGATAGGAGGAGGACTCAGGTTGGGAACAGGCACCAAGGAATCTGCTGGAAATGTTCTAACTCTAGGTCTTGTTTATAGCTTGATATACATGACATGTAATCAAGAATCACTGGGCTACATAATTAAGGTTAGTATACTTCAAGCACTACCGTGTTTGTTGAGGCATTTTAAACTGCAATTTAAAAAGAAATACTGGCCGGGCACGGTGGCTCAAGCCTGTAATCCCAGCACTTTGGGAGGCCGAGGCGGGTGGATCACGAGGTCAAGAAATCGAGACCATCCTGGTCAACATGGTGAAACCCCGTCTCTACTAAAAATACAAAAAATTAGCTGGGCATGGTGGCTCATGCCTGTAATCCCAGCTACTCAGGAGGCTGAGGCAGGAGAATTGCCTGAACCCAGGAGGCGGAGGTTGTGGTGAGCCGAGATCACACCATTGCACTCCAGCCTGGGTAACAAGAGCAAAACTCTGTCTCAAAAAAAAAAAAAAGAAATATTAAATGATTTCACATTTTCACATTTACCAGCCAATATCTTAATGTAAAAAAGGTTTGGGTTTACACGTGTACTAGGGGGCAGCAAACTGTGGTTCTCAGGCCACTTGCCTGTTTTCTACATTGTTTTACTGGATCACAGCTACTGGCTGCTTTCGTGCTATAGCTGCATGGGTTAGTAGTTGAAGACGGCAAGAAATATAACACCCAAGATATTCACTATCTGATCCTTTAAGAAAAATTCTGCCAACTCGACTTAAACTTCACATAATAAATTGTCCTTTTTTTAGGAGAATTCAAATCAACCTCATCCAGATACCAAAGTAACAACAGGAAGATTTTTTTAGACAGCTTAGTAAATTACTCAGTGAATTGCAACCAAGAATTTCACAAAACTCTAACAGGGTGGCTGCATTCTTCTGTTTGAGTTACACTATGAGTTTAAGACACAGATCATAAACTGGCATTCTGTTTAGCCTTACACAATGTTAATTTTTTTATAAATTTTATTCCTACCTTTTACAAATAGGAGAGTATGTTTTTTTCAAAAACCAAAATTTAACTTCTCATTAAAAAAATACATGGAAGATCCAGCAACACTGGAACCACATTCCTACAAGCTAACAATGAGCTCAACTGACTCTGTCAACAGAGACGCCAAGCATCACTGACGCTCAGTATCACTTCTGCATAATTCATTTCACTTACAGCACAGTTCAGAGGACAATAAAATGCTGCTGCTAGGTGCACCTATATAAAGAGTAGGAAATGGAAGACAGAAGGCCAGAGGTTTCTTTAACACTCAGCTCATTTGTTATCTTAGTGACTCTTGGGCACATGAGTTGAAACATGAGATTTAAGCAATGGCCTCCAGAGAAAACGGCAGAAAATGAGAGAGATCTGGCCAGAGGGGCCAAAAGGGCAATGGCTTATGCCTGCAGACATCAAGAGGTGAGTATCTTCCTCTATCTCCCACCTTGAGACAATTCTACCTATTAAAAAGCTTCTTAATATTTTTTTTGCAACTTGTGAGTCTAAAATTATTTCAAATTAAAGGTTTTCTGAAAAAGCTTTGTCTCACTGACTAAAAATCTGTCCAATTGTATAAAACAAGTTTAATCCTCTTCCATCAGAAAGTTATGCCATTATCTACAGCAGGAATTCCCCAATCCCTGAGCTGCAGACCGGTCCTGGTCCGTGGCCTGTTAGGACACGGCCACACAGCAGGAGGTGAGTAGCGGGTGAGTGGACTACCACCTGAGTTCCATCTCCTGTCACATCCATGGAGGCGTTAGATCCTCACAGGAGTGCAAACCCAACTGTGAACAGAACATGTGAGGGATCTAGGTTGCATGCTGCTTCTGAGAATCTAAAGCCTGATGATCTGGGGTGGAACAGTTTCATCCTGAAACCATCTCCAACCTCCCCAATCCATGGAAAAATTGTCTTCCATGAAACCAGTCCCTGGTGCCAAAAATGTCAAGGACTGCTGATCTACAACTTTTGTCCAGATTCTCACCGAGAGTCTCCTTTCTGGAGGACTAGAAAAAGAACTATTATTATCGCCTCTCTTGCTCTATCACATATTCATTCAATTAGCAAATATTTATTGAGCATTAGTCAGACACTGTTCTAGATTCTAGGGGTACAACAGTGAACTATGCTTTTGCCCTGCGGAACCTACACTAAGTTATTAGGTCTCATAATGCAGCATAAGCCATCAAAGCCTTCTGGACTTATGGCCATATCATACTACCAATTTTATTACACTAAATTTAGTCCACTAAATTTTCTTTTTTTATTTTTGACACGGTTTTGCTCTGCCACCCAGGCTGAAGTGCAGTGGCACAATCACAACTCACTGCGACCTTGAACTCCCAGGCTGAAGAGATCCTCTAGCTTCAACCTCTCAAGTAGCTGGGACTACAGGTACACACAACCATGGCTAGTTTTTATTTTTTGTAGAAATGGGGTCTCGCTATGTTGCCCAAGCTGGTCATAAACTCCTGGCCTCAGGTAATCCTCCCGTCTCAGCCTCTTGAAGTGTTAGGATTACAGGTGTGAGCCACCATGCCCAGCCTCTAATTTTTTTCTAAATCCACTGCCTAAATTATAAGCTTAAGCAAATGGGTTATGGATCCAATTTTCTGATGGTAATCCTTCCTTCCTACATAAGGTATATTTACTCTGTCCTTCTCTCTAGTCTGTCAAGAACTTCTACAACAGCAGTTTCTTTTTCACCTTAGCATACACTCTATCCCTTCTAATTTCTTAGAGTCTGCAAACCTGATAAACCTATCCTTCTGTATAGTCATCCAAGTCAATCCTTAGAAGTTGAATGGATAGCACTGAGGTCCCTAAGACCCCTGACATACATCTCTAGCATGACTCTAAGAGACATGAGTCCATTGTTTAATGCTCCATGGGTTCCCCCTCTCTCAATGAGCTATGAGCCCAACCCGAGTTGCCTTATCCACAAGAATATCATTGGGTCTACATCAAACCTTCCTAAATTTCAGATTCAGTATGCTCACCCATTTTTCTCTAATCACGTTGTGGGAAAAGAATTTTTTTTTAATGGGAGAACAGTTAAAAAGGAAGAACAGGTCACTACATAGCTTCCAAACTAAACTGGAATTCTTGAATAAATGCTAGGTATACATAAGAAAAAAAAAAATCACTCTTTGGGGAAGTGAAAATCACATCACTGTTCATCAGAAATGTTATTTTTCAGACAATTGATTTAATCATATGAACTTTTATACACAATAGCTTTGGCCACAGTATAGATGAAAACAATTAGCAAATTTAATCCTTGGAATCTGTTTTCTGTTGTTAAAACCAAGTAACTTTTTTTTTTTTTTTTTTTTGAGACGGAGTCTCGCTCTTGCTACCCAGGCTGGAGTGCAATGGCACGATCTCGGCTCACCGCAACCTCCGCCTCCTGGGTTCAGGCAATTCTCCTGCCTCAGCCTCCTGAGTAGCTGGGATTACAGGCACGTGCCACTATGCCCAGCTAATTTTTTGTATCTTTAGTAGAGACGGGGTTTCACCACGTTGACCAGGATGGTCTCGATCTCTTGACCTCGTGATCCACCCGCCTCGGCCTCCCAAAGTGCCAGGACTACAGGCTTGAGCCACCGTGCCTGGCCAAAACCAAGTAACTTTTTTTCTCAACTAAAAGTTTGTGCCTTTAACACATTCACTGGGAGTTATTAAAAAATGGAAATGTGTTCGAATTTCTAGAGGCATATTTGAACTCTGTATATGGTTCACATGAGGGAGTCCAATTGAAAGTGTATTTTAAAATGCTAATCTATGTGACTAAGGCATAAAGCATGACACAAATTAGCATTCAGCACTTGGAAGTGAAATAAAAACAAAAAGATAATTCATGAATATGGTAATGACTATTCTCTGGCACAAAATCTAAAAGTGCTTTTACGCATTTTAAGTAAACTTCAAATTTTAAGTAAACTTCCACAGTATCAAGTTTTAGAACAATCATCCAGCAAGTCATTTTACAGACACAATCTCGGATTTATGACTATTTGGCAAACTGTATTATAGTTGATTTTCTCAATAAGGAGAAAAGTTTAGCCCAACCACAGTAACAAGTTTATGGGAGGCATGTATAACCTGGAGAAAACAAATCATCAACACTTCAGACCTATTCACATGACTGGAGAAGTATTGTTGTATGCTACTTAAAGATGGTTATACAGAGTAAAGCCAAGTCTTTCCTCTCCATACCTTTTTAATTCGGTAAATGTTAGATTACCTTGAAAGTAACAAAGCAGGGTTTATTGTAAAATACTCCTAAGTTTGTTATTCTTCACTACACTCCCAAACTTCTCTGATGAGCAACTTTTATTTGCTGACAGATACATCTTTTAAGGAAAAAAAAGGCAGCAAAGGGCAATCATTTTATATCAGCGCTAAGGTAACACTAAAGCACAACACTCACCCTGTCTTCCATCAAACGTGAAAGCTGAAAGGTTTTTACTTTATTCAGTGAAGGTGACTTCAATGCCAGTGCTTATCGAGAGGGGACTTCCATCCTATCATGCTATGTTCCATTTGCTTTAATTCTGTGCCTGCTTTCCAGACTTACAGAGTTTTTTGGGAATTAGAGAATATTCACTTCCAGGGCAATTCCTGGCCCTCCAAACTGCTTACCTGAATATATTTCCGCTGAGTTTCATCATTTAAAACATGTGCAACATGCTTGGAAAAAATCTTTTCTCTTCCAGTTCTGGCATGGATACCAACCATAGTGACACCGATGGGCCAAGGCGCATTTCCAATGGCCATCTGAAGATAAGCATCATTTGCCTAAAAGGAGCGTGTAAGAAGAAATCAGATAGGCAAAAAGTTGTATTGACCCAAATTCTTATTTCAAGTATTTCACAGTCCTTTATGATGTAATTTTCATCCACCTCTTGGGTACATTAAAAATATTACCATTACGGTTATGCAAACAAAAGAGATTAAAATATAGGGTAGCAGACTGCCCCACCCAGGACCACAAATGTCCATGGAAAAACAGAAGCCAAAGCTAGGTTGTGAGTAAAAAAAAGGCAAATGTTCCTTTGCAGCCTTTGTGTGCTGGAATCGATAACATTTCAGATCCGGAATGAGCAAGTAGGCACTTCCATGCACTGATGAAAATTCTAGCTTCGATCTCCTGCAGGCCCAGTCTTCTCCACAGGGGGTCATGTAGAAGACAGGGGCTAATGAGTTTTTCTTTGTCTAACCCAAAACAATATCCACTCCCTACACAGCACTGTGGCTCTCTGAAGGCAGTGGGGGCTCAGTATGCAGGGATGATCACACAGGGTCCATAACAGATGTGTAAACAAAGAGGAAACGCTGGCCCTCTAATCAAATAGCTGAAGGATGAGATCGCTCCACTTTGCCCCTCATCCAACCTCCCACCTGCCAAGAACCTTTAAAGAGCCACAAAAAGTGAAGACAGAAACCAAGGAAGACAAATGGCTCTTTTTCCTAACCAAACCTGGCTAGCTGTACGGAAAACAAAAAAATAAAATAAAAATAACAGAAAGCAAATAAATTCTAAAAGACCTCAAGGGCTAAGAGAAGCTTATAAAGCCAGGTCTCAAATAGATTTTAATTTAAAAAATCAGATACCTATGAGATTGATAGGTAGAGTTAATTTTTTTTAAATCAGATACTACAAATAGGGTAGCTAGAAGATCATTTTCTAGCCCGAAGATAAATCTGAACCTGTTCTGCTCGACAGATTTTAGAAAGCTTAATTTTTTTAAGGGCATATGTACATTTTTATCACTAATTTTCATGCATATAAATTTTAACATTAGATCTTAACTGATAAAAATTCCACTATTCAGTTTCCCCCAAATTCCAAAGAAACTGTCTAAAAAGGTTATTAAAGCTTCTTGGTTCTTTCTGTAGTTTATACAAAATAAGCTTACACTTGCACTTAGTTCTGATATGTGATCACGAGAAAAAGCTGTAAGAGGAGGGGCATCCATTGCAGCAGGCAGGTGATGTGAATTTTCTTCCTGCAGTGATGGTGACCTTATCTATCCATGCCAGTGCAATCATCCTTAGTAAGAATTATGCAACTGATAGAATCTAAGAAGCAAAATTACAATTGTAAGGCAAAAATATTTTCTTTGAGAAAACTGGCTGGCTCTTAAAAGCAGTAAAAATCACTGCAGGAACCTCATTAGCCTAAGGCTCTAATCAAGTAAATCATCCGGTCACTCAGGAATGCCAGCAGTCCCTTGTTCCGTGAGTGTACAGATACAGCACTGAAGCAATGTTATTCCCAGTTCCCTACTCCTCTGGCACTGGCACTGTGCTTGCTGCACTGAAATGCTCTACTCCTAGTGTCTTGGGAGGCACAGCCACAAGAAGCTTCCCTCCAACTCTGTCCTTTCTTCATGTCCACTCCTGGTGCACTGGGCCCTTCTCTTCTTGTTACCCGGTACCAACTGAGAGTCCTCCACTCATTCATTTCTAAACTCTACTGCAGGGAGCCCTGACACCAGCGCCCTTTCCCTCACCACCACCTCCCACAGCTCATTCAGGAGTAAAGACATGGGGCGAGGGAGGAAAGGCTTACCCTGCATGAGGTCTGCTACTGTCACAGCTGAAATGGGAGAAATGAGTCCTGGAAGCCTACTTGAATTGTTTCCCCATAGAAACAATCACGAACAGTGGTTAAATCCCACTGTACCATCGGTACAACTGTTCAGCTATATTACAGATTAAAGGGGCTTTTAGAACCATCCTGAGAAACTAATCTATACAATGCTTCTATGGAAAATTTGTTCCAAGCCATAACCAGCCATTTACAAAACTTTGAAATTCAATCCCATTGGTCAAATGAACACTGCCTATATACAGTTCATGCTCCAAAGCACCTTCAGAGGGACTTTAAAAATGACTAAGAAAACAAAGTTGAGGTCTGTATTTTCTTAGTCAGGTTTGTTATTCAATGCCTAACAGTAAAGCTGGCAAATAAAATAGAAAATAAAACATTTTTTACTACTAACTCATCTCACATTTATTCTTAAATCTACTACGTAAAATCCTCCTACCCCAAATGAACATTATATTACGTACATAACCTAGATATACGTTTAACAATTTCAAAGGATAGCATGGGAATGTACCTTCACATATTCTCTCTGTAACATGAATTTAATAATATCCGTTATTGATTCTTTAATATCCGCAGGAAGATTCTGGAAAAAAAAAAGAATTTTGGAAGCTACTATGTATACTGAAAAAACAGACTACTGCATTTATTCCAAATCTATACTGTAGTTTTTAAGTCAGTTAAAAAAGGTATTTGCCAAGCAACCTCACCCTTTTCCGTAGCTTTCTGAAAAGCGGTCTGAGGTAGGACTCGGTCTGCTTCTGGGTAGCGCTGTTCAGTTTACCCTGCACACTGCGTTTCACATAATCTTCTCTGCCATTCAGTTCTTTAGCCCAAACGCCAAGAAGAAACTGTTGAAAGGATGGGTCAATTTAGACCACAATGCCACCCAGTGGTTCAGTAAAGTTAAACGCTCTCTAGCACACAAACACAGAATACAATCATCCTTAAAGTAAATGTCTTGATTAAAACGCCACCAAATGATACTGAATAAGCTAGTTCTGCTCATTCATCATGGTGATGCTAAGAAGCAGTACCTCTGGCAAGTCACCAACCTCCTAGTCTACATCTATTCCTAGCTCAAGATAATGTACTTCCCCAAAAAAGAACTATCAAGTTTCACAGTTAACTATTTGACAGGAAATAAACTTCTATTTGTATTTCTATTATATATATAAAATTCAACGTTACAAGTTCCAAGAAAGCTGTAGAGACCACAATTAAGTTTAAAACCCACTAAAGCACCTGACTAAAGGAGGAGGAAAAAGAGAAACAGAAACCATGACCCAGCATTCTCACCCCACCCATACCCCTAGAAAACCACCACAGTGCCCCTTGGGTTTAAATGTATAAATGGCACCCTTTCTAGAAGTAGGTAACAGAAAAGGCTGAGGAAGGTGTTCTACCCTAGTCATTGTCTACACATGTCCTAGAAAAGAGGAGGCCATCTTTCAAAGAGGAAATTCTAGTTCATACTACCTCCTATGCCCTATCTAGATAGTTCCATGCCATATCCTCAATATACTCAGTCTTGATGACTAGTATGTTGTATCTAAAATGTACGTACAAGAAAAAGCATTATTTGCATGCATATCTTAGTCTGAACACAGTTTGTGAATAAACTGTTCAGTTTATTCAGTTAAAATATTTGTGATTTGTTCAAACACCGTCTAAGACCACTAAACAGAGGAATGTTGAGAAGAAAGTTGGAATCAGCACGTCACGGCAAAAATAGGCACCCATCTGTAGAACTGGAGAAATGAACACTCTGAAAGGTTCTGGATGCGTTTACCTCTTTCACTGACAGTGTCTTTCCACCTCCTGCCTTTCCTGACCATTGTCAACCTCTCATAAAAGCTTCTAGACCAGGTGTGGTGGCTCACACCTATAATCCCAACTCTTTGGGAGGTGGAGGCAGGCAGACTGCCTGAGGCCAGGAGTTTGAGAACAGCCTGGGCAACATAAGTGAGAGCCTGTCTCTACAAAACACTAAAAAATAAGCTGGGCGTAGTGGTACCTGCCCTACTACTCAGGAGGTTTATGAGCCCAGGATTTCAAGGTTACAGCAAGCTATGATTACACAAGCCTGGGCAATACAGAAAGACCCTTTCTCTTACCAAAAAAAAAAGGTAGAACCTTCTTTCACACTTCTTCTTTGGGTTATCTTTAAAAATAAGAAATTCAGGCCGGGCGCGGTGGCTCAAGCCTATAATCCCAGCACTTTGGGAGGCCGAGGCGGGTAGATCATGAGGTCAACAGATCGAGACCATCCTGGTCAACAAGGTGAAACCCCGTCTCTACTAAAAATACAAAAAATTAGCTGGGCATGGTGGCGCATGCCTGTAATCCCAGCTACTCAGGAGGCTGGGGCAGGAGAATTGCCTGAACCCAGGAGGCGGAGGTTGCAGTGAGCTGAGATCGTACCATTGCATTCCAGCCTGAGTAACAAGAGTGAAACTCCATCTCAAAAAAAAAAAAAGAAAGAAATTCAGCTGGATGCCATGGCTCATGCCTATAATCCCAGAACTTTGGGAGGCCAAGGCGGGCAGATCACTTGTAGTCAGGAGTTCGAGACCAGCCTGGCCAATAGGGCAAAACCCTGTCTCTACTCAAAAAAAAAAAAAAAATTAGTCAGGTATGGTGCCACGCTACTTGGGAGGCTGAGGCAGGAGAATCTAGAGATCACTTGAATTTGGGAAACAGAGGTTGCATCAAGCCAAGACCATGCCACTGCATTCCAGCCTGGGTGACAGTGCAACACTATCTCTCTCAAGAAAAAAATAAGAAACTCCATCAACTTCTTATTAATTCTGCTGTTGTGATTCTTTTCTATGTGTTTATATTAATAAGCCAGTTTTTAAAAATACACCACAAGAAAAGTAGACTAGGCACAGTGGCTCACACCTATAATCCCAGCACTTTAGGAGGCTGAGGCAGGTGGATCACCTGAGGTCAGGAGTTCAAGACCAGCCTGGCCAACATAGTGAAACCCTGTCTCCACTAAAAACACAAAAATTAGCCGAGTATGGTCGTGGGCACCTGTAATCCCAGCTACTCAGGAGGTTGAGGCAGGAGAATCGCTTGAACCTGGGACGTGGAGGTTGCAATAAGCCTAGATTGCACTCTAGCCTGGGAGACAAGAGCAAGACACTGTGTCCAAAAAAAAAAAAAAAGGAGCAACAAGAAAAGTAAATATGCATTTTCTCTGCTGTATCAAATGCAGAGCGATATCATTAACATCATATCATGTACGTGCAAGAAATGTGTACTGAGGTTTTCCTGTTCCAGCCTTTAACCCCTGGTAATCTAAAAATCTAAGAACAGCTCATAAGGATCCAAAGCACCCTCCTCCCCAGCCTAAGACATGCACCTTCAGGAATTTGGTGATGATGTCCATGTCTTTATGATCATCGCCTTTCCCTAAGGACTCTCCCAGCGCCTGAAGAGAAAGTAACAATGCTTCTGTTCATTAGCACAGGGCAACAATTAAACATATATATTACCAACACCAGTCTAAACTTGGCTCTTGGTCACATATGCTGTTCATATTTTTACTTAAAAACTAGATGAAATTTCTAGGTAAGAAACTGAAAGCAAAAACCTGAAACTTGGAGAACATGTTATCTTTTATGAAAAGACAAGAGAGGGTAATAGGGATTTTTTTGGGGGGAACAAAAATGTTCTAAATATAGATTGTGATTAAAAATAAATAAATACACAAATAGGAAGAAAAAGCCCACAAGTGGTTACCCGTACCAATTACTTTAGTAAAATTTAGGGACCACAGATAGATATTGGAGGAGGGAGGGGATTAAAATGACATCTTCCTCAACTGTGATCTCATTCAGAGGGACAGCTACATGTGCAAGAGCCAGGAATTAAACAGAAAAATAACACTTTATGTTTCCTTAAGCATTAAGAACTTAAAGTCATATTTATTTTACATGCTACTTACATGATACAAAATTGCTGTTTAATTAAGATTATACATTAACACTCCACATGCAGAACTGTGGCAGAAATTAGAAAGCAAAATACTGCCAACTGTTGGCAGGGCTGGAAAGACACAAGACCCTCACACTGCTGGTGTAGACTAGGACAGCCACTCCATAGAGCAACTTGGCAATACTTAAGCTAAATATGCATATATAAATCCCACAGTCCTGCTTTGTTAGGCCATCGTGGTTACACACAAGCCTGTTCATCAGGAAGCTGTCTGTGGCAGGAGGGAGCTGGAAACAATCTAGCTGTCCATCATTACCAGAGAACAAAAAATCAAATGCAGTGAACGCCAGAACACATGGAACCCTATGCAGCAATTAAAAGCAAAGGATTAAATGTACATACAGCATTAAGGGTGGCTCTTAAAAACATAGTGCTAATTGAAAAAAAAAAAAAGTAAAAAATAAAAAATTTCACAGCATAGCATCATTTATATAAATCAAAAATACATGCTCACAAAACACTGCAGGTCACAAGAGCCTATTAGAATAGTTCCTGTTGAAGGCAAGAAGTAGGGGAATGTGAGTGGTGGATGAGAAAAAGGGGAGTCAATAAATAAAAACAGGGAGTAAATAAACAAACAAAAAACCCAACAGAGGCAGTGTGCTCTGCACTGAACAATCTGTCCGACTCAGCCATCTGCTCCACAGGAAAGAGGGGTGGGAGGGGATGCACTGAGCTTAGAGTAGAGACTACCTCTAACTCTTCAATTGTGGTGTTTTCCTCATGAACTTTCAAATCATTCTGTGTGTCTTCCTCTCCAGGCTCCTGACCACCCACGATTTCATTCAGGTACTGCTGATCAATCTTATCCAAGGCTGCTTTCAAATCATTCCTCAATCCCTAAGAAAGGTTTAAAAAAAAAAAAAAAAAAAAAAAAAGAATAACTGTTATGAAATTTCACTGATGTTTCACCTTTGATTTTTCATTAATAACTGCTATTATTTCCACCCTCCCCAAGAAGTTAAGAGCTTAGAAAAAGCAGGGACTAAAATGACATCCATTTATCACACAACTATCATTACTGTCCTTTAAAGATAATTCTTATGAATATATTTAAACTCAAATAATGCATGAACAATGGCCAGTCTGCTCGTCAGAAAAATAAAATACACCTGAGTGACTAATCCAAACAAGAATCTTCATAAATGCTGTAATTTTCTAGTGAAGCTTAGTGAAAGTGACAGGTATCCACTAGAGTCCCCAACCCTTTTGCCCAGCTCATTTACAATGTCTAACCTCAACTACTGTGAACTCCCACAACATTCAGAAATGTCAGTGGAATAAAATTGGTGCCTCATCTATAGCCTAGATTCTCAACTATGTTTCTACCCAATCAGCAAATTCTGCATTTTATGCACATATAGTTCATGCCCATTTAATAAAAAATGGAAACCTCAGTTTCCTAAGAATGAGAATCAGCTGCAAGGTTTAAGAGCCAAGGAACCATGGCCGTGAGGTAGCTTTAGGGTAATGGTTGAGAGCAAAGGCTATCTGGGTTCAAATCCTTGCCAGGTGCTATTAAACAGCTCTTCCACCGCTTGCCTAACCCCTGTATGCCTCAGTTGCCTCACCTACAAAATAGGAAAAACAGCACCATCTACTATGTAGGGCTGTCATGAGGATGCCATTTTTTATTGCAGTGAACAGTTACTATGTGATGGGGCTGTTCCAGAACCTCACAAACATCACGTCAAGTAAGCAAGCTAAGAAATGGACGATGCACTTTGAACAGTTGCTGGAGCACAGTGCACATTCGACCAATGTTAACTCCTAACGTTCTTACACGAGAAGCATCTGACCATCGTCTACTGTCCTTTCATAAACATGGAAGAGAAACATTCAACTCAAAACACTTTTAATTTCCCAAACACTGACTGACCACCTGCTATGTATAAAGTATGATGCCAGGAATTCCCAGAGGCGATCTCACTGAATTCTCACCATATCCCGGTGAGCCAGATATCACTATCTCTGTTTTACCAATGAGGATTCTAAGGCTCAAATAGATTTTAAAAACTTGCCAACAGTCACACAATTGATGATTATAACCCAGGAATGCAATCTAGACCTCGTGCTCCTGTGCTCTGTCCTCAAAACCTCTAGATGCACATCACTAGACTTGGCATACAAAGCTAAAACAGCCTTTGCCCACCAGGAAGAGCTAAATATGCATATAACTAATAATGGTGAAATACATTAAGGACACTAACAAAGTTTTATCATAGGCGCATGGAAAACGAAGCAATTAATTCTGACTTAGATCAAAAATCAATTCAGAGAAAATACGTGGTCACTGAATTACATGTAAAAGTATAAAAACAAGATTTCAACCACAGCATACAAGAGAGAAACACAGCAGGCAAAGGAAAAGTGATAATCACAGACAAAGAGGACTGAAGGCAACTGCTAGTGTTGTGGGGCTGGAATGGCAATGCTGGGAGGTGAAGCAGGAAAGCGGGTTGAGAAAGCAGTGAGACAGCCCAAGCTAGCAGACAGAGAGCACTGAGGGAGAGGAGCCTGGCCAGCCCCAGCTGTTCCCACCATGCCAACTGAGATGCCAGGAAAGAGGACCAGTCCAGGACAGCCTCAGATGACTTCAGCCACAGCCTTCATCTGACTGCAATCACAAGGAAGACCCCAAGCAAGACACTGCTCCATCCAGCCCAGTAACAAACCACACAGCTGGTTAAGACAATAACAAATGATCTTAAGCTACCAGGTTTCGGGGCGGCTTGTCACCAAAAACAGATGTTATAATAATAATTTATAACAAATAAACACTAGTAAGTTTTGGGGTAGTCTGTTACATAGTCATAGATACCACACCTGTCTCTCAATAATTGAGAGAGCAAATAGATACAGAGTTAATAAGGCCACAGAACATCTGAACAACACTATCATCACTGACATGTGTAGAACTGTACCATGAAAGCAAAACAGTACTTTTTTCAAGAGCCCATGGAATACACTATATGCTAAGCCATGAAACAAGATGAGAGCCTTAAATGTAAAAGCAAAACTATAATATTAAGCTTCTAGAAGAAAATAAAGAATATCTCTTTGAAACCTTGGGATAGGCAAAGATTTCTTAAGCAGGACACAAAAAGCAATGACCATAAAAGAAAAAACTGATAAACTGGACTTCATAAAAACATAAAACTTCTGGGCTGGCCAGTTTGGGAGGCCAGGGCAGGAGGATCGCTTGAGTCCAAGAGTTCAAGATCAGCCTGGCAACATAAGGAGACCCCCATCTCCCTAACAATTAAAAAATCAGCTGGGCATAGTGGTACACACCTGTGGTCTCAGCTACCTGGAAGGCTAAGGTTGGAGATCACTTAAGCCCAGGAGTTTGAGGCTGCAAATGAGCCATGATTTTGCCACTGAACTCCAGCCTGGGTGAGAGTAGGACCCTGTCTCAAAAAGTGTGTGTGTACGTACACGTACACGTACACGTACACACACACACACACACACACACACACACACCCCTTCTATTCACCAAAAGATTCAATTAAGAGGAAAGCCATAAACTACAAGAAAATAGCCACAAAACATTTCCATATATCTGGCAAAGAACTTCTATCCAGAATATATAAAGAATTCCTATAATCCATCAACAAAAAGACAAGTTAATCTTTAAAGTGAACAAAAGGCACCTGTAATCCCAGCTACTCCAGAGACTGAGGTGGGAGGGCTGCTTAAGCCCAGGAGGCTGAGCCTGCAGTGAGCCATGGCTATGCCACGGCATTCTAGTGTAGGTGACAGAGAAGGACCATGTCTCAAAAATAAATAAGGAAGGAAAGACTTTTTTAATAGACACTGCATAAACTGGACTTCACAAAAATATAAGACAAGTCTATGGAAAGATGCTCCTCCTCTTTAGTCATCAGACAGTGTGATTAAAGCCACAGTGTGCTACTACCAGACACAAGAGAAGGGTTACAATTTTAAAAACCAGACCACATGCTGAAGTTTGGAAATGAGTGGCATTTCTTAGGAAGTTAAGCCAACATCTACTCTTACTCTCCACCAATTCTACTTCTAGGTATTTCCCAAAAGATATAACATATTTACCCAAGAAAAATAACATAGTTCCAAAAACAGATCTGCGTAAGAATGGTCATAGCAGTTTGACTCCCCATAGCCCAAAGCTGGAAATGAATTTTGAATACTCATATAACTGAGTATAACTGAAAAATGAAGAGGAAACTAGTGATATCTGCAATAACATGGATGAACCTAAAAACTGTTATGCTGAGCAAAAGAAGCCAGACACACACCCTATGAGTCTATCTGTATGAAATAGTAGAGCAAGCAAAACTAATCCATGAAGACAAAATTCAAACGGTGGCTGCCCAGGAGTGGAAGAGGAGGGATATGGGGATTGGCTGATAAGGGACGTGGGGAAATTTCCTTTTTTCTCAGCGCTTAAGTTCAGGGGTACATGTGCAGGGTTGTTATAGGTAAACGTGTGTCATGCTGTCACTGCACAGATCAGCCCATCACCCAGGGACTAAGCCCAGCATCTATTTGCTGCTCTTCCTGATGCTCTCGGGGGTATTTCTTTGGTGGTGAAAATGTTCTGTTTCTTTATAAGGGCAGTGGTTACATGCTTGTATGTATTTGTCAAAATGCACTAAACATTATACTTAAGACATGTGTTTTTCAAAAAATTAATGGAAACTTCCATTCAGGAGCAGTAATCTGTCCACTTTCTTCTTGCACTGCTGCCTATGGTAATGCACTTAGTGAAACTCTATCCTAGTGTACAAGGTACAGTGGCATTTTTTGAGCTTTGTTCTGTCCTCTAACCTTGTTAACTTCTGGTGTGAGGATCTCTATTTTTCTTAAACGTTGAAAAGCATCATAATCGGTTTCTCCAAATAGTCTGATTGGTTCTCCTCTTTCTCTCAACCTTCTGATGACCTATAAAGTGAAACAAACACTCGGTAAATTATTTAACTTTTGAGAGAGGAAAAAAATACACATCTCAAAACAATTTGTATATCGTACCTTAAAAGCCAAGCCTAGGTTTAATAAAGCTAATTAAACACATGTTTCTGTGTAAAGTATAAAAGCCTTCAAATATTTTAAAGCATTTCAATTAGGCTAAACAAAGCTGTTTCTGAATCAAAGACAAAATCAAGTTCTTTAGTTAAAAACCTATTTTGACTCAAAAGTCAGTTATTAATTTTATTACCGAATAGCTCCCAGAAAGTGGTCTATGAATCTACAATTCAAATCTAAAGAACGATCCTAATATAAACCACCTCTTTTATTGTGAGATTAAAAAAAAAATTCTTTTTTGTAAGAAAAAGGGCATGATTTTGGCCCTCATTTTATATACCTCTAACTGTTCTGTCTTCGTTAAGAAACACTGGAAAGACCACAGTAATCCCTTATGTCAGCATGTTTTTGGTGACCACACACTTGTTTTGAAATGTAGATGCAAAAAGGAAGCTGTTTATTCTTTAATTTTCCATGAAAACATATACTGTGTTATTATTGCACCTTAGGTAACCATAAAGTTTAGGTCGTTTAGCTAACTGCTTTGGTAGGACCAATCTGTGCAACAGGACACACAGGAAAAACACTAAAATGGGAGGGAATAACAGCATTTACAAAGAGAAGGAAAATAAAATCTGAAGCCAGCTGATAACGCAATTACCATGATGGAGAGTCAGCATTGTGATACCACCATCACACCAAAAACTTCTCCCTCAGAGGAAAGGGAGTTTATAACCTGCACATGCACAGCTTTCGAGATGCTGATGATCTATTTCCAAACTTGGGTGATGGTTACATGAATATTTTGTAATTATTCATAATTATTCACATGTGTAAGATATTGCCGTAATGTTTCATACACTTTATATACATGCTATATTTCATTTTAAAAAAGAAGAACCAGAAAACTTAATTAACAAAATAAAGACTAGTCTAAATTTTTTTAAAACACAAAAATAAGAAACACCAAGAGCTTTACCTTGGAGCATAAATAGCATCACACCTAGAATCCACTGGGAGGGCTCCCACTGGATTAACAGAAGTTTGAGATTAAAATAGAAATTTAAGACCAGGCGCGGTGGCTCACGCCTATAATCCCAGCACTTTGGGAGGCCGAGGCGGGTGGATCATGAGGTCAAGAGATCGAGACCATCCTGGTCAACAAGGTGAAACCCCGTCTCTACTAAAAATACAAAAAATTAGCTGGGTATGGTGGCGCGTGCCTGTAGTCCCAGCTACTCAGGAGGCTGAGGTAAGAGAATTGCTTGAACTCAGGAGGCAGAGGCTGCGGTGAGCCGAGATCGCGCCATTGCACTCCACTCTGGGTAACAAGAGCAAAACTCCATCTCAAAAAAAAAGAAATTTAAGAGGTCATCTAAAAAAAAAAAAAAAAAGAGGTCATCTAATGCTATCTCCAATCAATGTAGAAATGACCTCATAAACACCCTTGTCAGGTCCCAGTCTGACCAATGACAGGAATTATATTTCTTCATGAAACATCCCGTCCCACTGTTTGAACAGATGTGTTTTACTTCTCAAAACTGAAATCTACTTCCCTCAAACTTCTACCCATTTATCCTAGTTTCACTTTATGAAACCACAGAGAATATTCCAATTCTCCAAAAGCAGAGCTACTTTCAATGCATTCTTTAAGATATCTCTAATAATTCTCTCCAGCCTCAGTATTCTAAATTCCTTCACCTAATCTCCATATGATGATTATGATTCATAGGATTCTAGAGTCAGTCATCATTCCTCTGAAAGTTGCCTTTTGTGCAACGTCCATCATAAAAATGTGGTAATGTAGAACTAAAAAATAATACTGCCAGCATGTCAACCTGTGAGAAGTACAGAATCCACAGCCTTTGATCTAGACACTATATCTCTATGAATTACATTCAGCCCTATCCACAATCACAGAGGTGTGAGAGACTACTGAGGACTCATAAAAATGAAAGATGACCCTAAGTCAGTCAATCAAAGACAAAAAGAACCTAAAGAGAAACAAAAAGGGATTGTGAGCTAGTTATGACTGTAAAACACTGCTTAAGACTGGGTGCTGTAACGTAGGCATCTAGTGAGGAGCGCTTACTATTTTCCAGATATCAGTTTAAATAATTAACTCTCATCTATCTGGAATTACGAGACAGTGGTTCTGCAAGGTAATACACTACCTGACTTGGAAATTTCTTTTAGCACAAGAATTCTATTATTCTAACTTTTCTCAATAAAAAAGCTGAAATATACCACTCCCCCGCCCCATACCACCAAAAAAAATGACACAGAGACTAAAAGGACATCAGAGAAAGAACTTGAGCCTCTGACTCCTCTTTTACTATTTCAATAGAAGCTCCCTCGGTGCGGGCAGGGACATCTTCCCCGTATCATGTCTAGTACTTAATTGATGAGCCACTATTAATCAGTAACGATTTAATAATGATGAATCTCACAAAAAGAACAACTTCTTAAAAGTACTGTCTTTTAACCTAAACTGTTCGATGTTTAAAGATAAAGTAAATTCTAGGCCAGGTGCAGCAGCTCATGTCTGTAATCCCAGCACTTTGAGAGGCTGAGGCAGGCAGATCACTTGAGGTCAGGAGTTCAAGACCAGCCTGGCCAACATGGCAAAACCCCATCTCCACTAAAAAATTAGCCAGGCATGGTGGCGCATACCTATAGTTCCAGCTACTCGGGAGGCTTAGGCATGAGAATCTCTTGAACCCAGGAGGTGGAGGGTGCAGTGAGCTGAGATTACGCAACAGCACTCCAGCCTGGGTGACAGAGCAAGACTTGGTCTCAAAAAATCAAAAAGTAACAGATTTCTAAAACATGTAAGTGACAGGAAATTTTAGGTATTTTTCTGACTATGAAGTTAATACATGCTCACTTGAGATACAAAATTAAAATATAAAGAAAATAGTATTTTCTATACATAGTTCATAAAGGTAGTAAAAATAATACATATTTTTTTAACTCTTAGGAATGGAAGAAATCGTTTTAAGCATGATACCCAAAACAAAAAATATAATGTAAAAGATTGATGTCATCACATAAAAATTTAAAACTTCTGCATGGCAAAACACAAATACACTGACATATATATATATATATATATGTCACACACATATATATGTGTGTGTGTGTACACATATATATACACACTATGCATATCTGATACATATACACTATGAACACAGGTTAACACCCTTAACATATACATGTTAATTTAAAATAAAGACAAATTTCACAAAATGAAAACAGCAATTCCACAAAAAAGGACACATTAATGACCACTGAACACATGAAAAAATGTTCAATTCTAATAATCACTAATAGAAAGTTTCCAGTTAACACAAGATACCTATTTCACCCATCGGTTTGGCAAAAATTTAAAATAATACTGCTTTCAGATTGGCAAAGACTAAAACATTTGAAAATAGTTGACTGAAATGCTAAGAAAATGGTCTTACAAACTTAGAGTTGGAATGTAAATTGGCACAGCTTCTTTGTAAGACAATTTGACATACCACAGACACTCTCTCTGACCAGAAATTCTTTTCCTAGGAAATTACCTATTGTAAACTCTTGCAAATATCAAGACATATGTATAAGGAGGTTCTCCTTAGCACTGTATGTAATGGCAAATAATTAATCTAAATATCCATCAGTAAAGGGCTAATTTTAATAAATTACAAAACTATTACTAAAAACAATACCTAAATGTGTTGAGTAGCTCACTATTAAGTACTGTTGTTCTCTTCATGTATTACCTTATTTTATGATGAAAGTCTCCTGAGGTAGACCCAATTATCACCCTCATTCAGACATAAGGAAACGGAGAACAGACCAGCTAACCTGCCTTAATCACGTTTACTGTGAAAAATGTTCAGGCACACACCCCCAACACAAAATGGCCTTCAAAATGTATTTTGAGTGTAAAGACTAAGGCACAAACGCATAAAAATAATCATGTTTGTTTGTGTGAAAGGGAAAAAAGGTATACACATACACACTGATGCTTGTACAGGTGAAGAACTGGGTAGCAGAAGGACTGAGAGGAGACGGGGGCAGAGTGAGGGGGACTGGGGGAAATGGAAGATAGAAAAAAGAAGAAATTTTTGGTTTACAGCCTTCTGTATTCATTTGATTTCTTTGTATCACATGAGTATTTTTAAATTTTTTTTAAGTAAAATAATAGTTGATACCGATCAAGGTATAGACAAACACTATAAACACGACAGCGAAGAGTATAAAGTGACACAAGTCTAATACCTAAGACTTGTCTGGTAATACGGAGCAAAGTCTTAAAAATATACATTGTGTCTGCCCTAGATATCATGCTTTTAGAAATGCTTCCAAAGGAAATAGTCACACATTATGCATCCAATGATGTCTATATAAGGATGCTCATCTTAGTATTATTTATAATAAGGATATGCTGAAGATCATTAATAAATGATTTTTAAAATATTACGGTGCAGCCAGGCACAGGGTGGCTCACACCTGTAATCCCAGCACTTTGGGAGGCCAAGGCAGGTGGATCATTTGAGGTCAGGAGTTTGAGACCAGCCTGGCCAACATGATGAAACCCCATCTCTACTAAATATAAAAAAAATTTTAGCTGGGTGTGGTGGTAGGCACCTGTAATCCCAGCTACTCAGGACACTGAGGCAGGAGAATCCTTTGAACCTGAAGGTGGAGGTTGCAGTGAAGCAAGATCACACCACCGTGTTCGAGCCTGGGCAACACAGTGAGAATCAGTCTCAAAAATAAATATATAAATATTATGCCGCAAACAAGCAATGAAAAATTATATACTCATTCAAAATTATGCAGATCTCTGTATTTTAATCTGGAAAGATGTACTATTTATTAAATAAGGGAAAAAGAAGTATGTTACAAAACAATATAGTAATTATAATAATTTAACCATAAACAATTAGCATAAATACATTTAATTATACTTATTTTTGAATATCTTTTTTTTTTAAAGTTTAAAAGGGTACGCTCTAAAAAAAGTTAAGATAATAGTATCAAGAAGCAGTGAGTAGTTTAGAACTTCATGAAGAAAACTAGCTGCACAGTATTTTTAGGTCAGTCACTTTATACAGGAAATAATGACATTCAACTTATTGGAAAAGCTGGAGATAAATGTAAACACTGTCGAGATCTTACTTTTTACCATGCAACAACCACAACTAAACTTACCTCTTGCCTAGAAAGCGTCATGGGTAATTTTTCCTCTGCCAGTTCAAGTTCTAACACCGGGTTCGATGAAGTTAATGGTTTCTGGTCCTCCTCTTGAGGCTGTATCTATATTAATTGCCAAAAGAAATGAAATTCAGCTTTAAAAATATAATTAATATTTACCATTCTATTACCTTAGCTATTCATGGAAATTAACCATGTTTTCGACACTGAAGGTTTTCTAATGTTCCTCTAAGGAAAGAGCTCATAACAAATGTGCATGCTTGTAAGAGAGGGCCAAACGTATCCACGTCAGAGGCTTCACAAGTGCAGAGCATGCACAAAGGAATCAGCATTCTTGCTACAGAAGAGTGATACGACGATTACGGTTTGCAAATTCCAAATTCAGCAGGGCGGAAGTTAGCAGTCTCCTTCTCCCCGGACTCTAAAGAGCTGTACTTTTTCCTTAAAAACAATCGACTTGCTTTTCCTCTTTAATCACCTTAGAGGGTTATTTGATTATGGCTCAGCTTTACACTGAAGACAAAAGAATTTCTTTGCAACAGCAACCTGTGAAGCTCAAAGCTCCAGCTTTTCGAAACATATTATATCAAATGTATGGAAATCACTGTTGGACATACGGAAAAATTCCTAATGCTCTACAGGGCTGGTCCACAGCCTGAGCTATGAACCCTGCAGGGCACCTCTCTATTCATGCCACCCAGGGAAAGAGAGGGCATTCTTCATATGAATCTGTAGGAAAAACAAAATCTCTTCGCATATTTTCTCAAATCTGTTGCTCAAGTCTCAGTTTAGGAAAACTAAACTAAGCAATTTACAAGCCCCATTATGGAGTCTGTAAAAAAAAAAAAAAAAAACACTGAAACGTGGTTTTCCATTTGACCATAAGATAAATCTGAAATGCTGAAAGTAGGAGTAAGATCAAATGAACGTAAAAGATCAACATTAAGAAAGAAACTCACATGAAGAAAGGCTGTATGGTGAAAATTACATAATTCATGATTCTACAACTTACGGTTCAAGTCTGTGTTTACCAGAACTAATTGACATTGAGGTAAAATTAAGGTAACAAACGAAGCCTTTATATTTTTGCAGGTCAAATCAGCAGCAAGCCTTAAAAAATGCTAACTAGTTTCTACAAAAGAATAAAAGTAATGACTACTATGTCATTACTACCAAGACAGAAATATTTAAAATCTTTAGAAACACCTGTGCTTTACCTTTTAAGCACAGAAACATATTTCCCAAAAAAATCTCAGGATTAAAAACACATTTAATTATATAATGGCAGTTAATAGCTCTGGGGAAAAGATCTAAGTCATTTCATCAGCTAAACTCAAAGTTATAAGCAAGTATCTTTACAGTAATTATTTTCTCCAGTGCTTTCCTCTATATAAACAACAACAACAAAAAAGCACACTAAACAAAAGCAAAAACTGCCATTATATTAAATTACTTTCCTACCTTATCAAAAAGTTGAAAAGGCTCAAATTTAGGACTCTGGGAATGCCACACGCCAGCAGAGTAAACCTATGCAAGTGATTCTTATCCCAGACCAAGTGTGCGTTAGACAACATTGGGCAAGGCAAAAATGACAGCTCCCGATTACCTACTCAGTGGTTATTCACATAAAACTTATTTTCATTTCCTAATTAAGCAAATAAAACAAACATCTTTATGGAAAAACATCAAAATACAAGTGTAAACTTTCCCATATTTTAAAAACATATCAGAAATATAATTACATTTTTAAGTAACTTTTAAGTCACTTAGTATCTTTTGAAAATTACATTTTTCTTTAATATGTGTCTTCTCCCAGCACTACAAAGAAAACCAAATGCATATACATACCAGGTGCATTCCTCATGCTTCCTTCTAAAAATGCTATGCAGGATAAATCCATTTCCAGAACTTCCCTCATTACATGCACAAAAGTATTATCTTACATTGATATTTCACAAGCAAAAGGTTCATTACCAGTTTATGATTTGGCAAAAGTATTTCAATAAAATCTCTAAGCTTTGAGTTAAAAATTAAGCTAGATATAGTCTTCTTTCAAAATAATTTAAACGTAACTTCTCCACCTCATACCCTTTAACCCCTCCCAATAAAACCACAATACATTATCAACTAGATAATTTCAGACAATTTCAGTCATGCTTCTAAAATATACAAGCAAAGCCTTCCAGACAACTCCTTCCTTTTTTTTTTTGAGACGAAGTCTCGCTCTGTTGCCAGGCTGGAGTGCAATGGCGCGAACTTGGCTCAATACAACCCTCGCCTCCCGCATTCAAGCAATTCTCCTGCCTCAGCCTCCCAAGTATCTGCCCTACTAATTTTTTGTATTTTTAGTAAAGACAGGATTTCACTAAGTTGGCCAGACTGGTCTTGAACTCCCAACCTTGTGATCCACCTGCCTCCCAAAGTGCTGGGATTACAGGCATGAGCCACCACGCCCAGCCTCAACTTATTTATTTCTAAGAAATATTCCAAGATTACATTTTCTATCCAATAGACTAAACATTGTTTGAAATGTGATACCTTATTTCAACAAAAGCATATAAATATATCTGGCTTTAGATTTCAGGCAGAGGTTCTTAGGACCCAAAAGGACGTATTAACAATGCAAACATAAAATGAATGGCTTAAAATATTCCAGAGAAGGCAGGGAAATTACCACCACTACTACTGCTGTGGCTAGATGCATAAACATTTTGAACTCTTTCCAATAGGCTGTTTTATTGGGAGAGGTGGGGGACAGGAGTGGTGGTGGAGTTGAAAATAAGGCAGTCTCAGATTCAGGACTTAATTTAAAAAAAAAATTCAAGCTTTGGTGTCAAGCCACTTCATGCCATCCACAAAAAGCCAAACCATTCCAAGCCAAAAGTCATGCATGTATTTTCCTGAATTCAAGATTTTTTTTAAAATGCAAAACCAAAAACTCATACCTCTCCAGATGGCTTCTCATTTATAGGCTAACGTATAACATTGATAAATTGAACAGAGATCAATGATTGTCATTTAATAACAGCTGTATAAATTAAAACTCAGAAACACACAATTTAACATAAAAGCAGGCATTCCTACCTTGTAGCCACATCTTTCAAAATATGCTTCCTCTTCTTTTTTGGCAAGTTCACTACGCTTGAAATATTTTTTATTTTCCTGTTAAAGAAAAAAATTATGTTAGTAATATATCCTTGGGCAAAATTCATGTCCCATAGTCAACAAGTACCTTTAGAAACCTTTTGAAAACATTCTTCAGTCTCTCAAGAATTTGATAAATTCTTTTGGTTCCAGAGATAAATACATTGACTCCCCAAACACATCGCCAACCCCCCACAACAACTATGGGCTCTGATGTGTGATGAGGTCAAGGATTGTTCTTGTAGTATCATATTAGCAGGGATGTTCCTCAGCAAAGAGGAGGCCAAGAATATTTTCCCCATGTCCACACTGTTTTAATTTCCTAACATTTGAGTTCAAAGGTAATTCTTCAAATGGATTCATTAAGAACCACATAAAATGGTATATCGCAATTATTTTTTCCTAACGGAAACAAAGGTACGACATACATGGCCTACATTTGAAATCCCACATAACAAGGGAACTCCAAGAGTATGTCTAAGTTCTTTCTTGTTACCTGGAACCTTATCATGTCGATCCTTAGTCTAGATATAGGGTGGTCTTGGTGAACCTTTTTATTTAAAAAATAATTTAAGGATACTTGGGGCTTTGTGTGTCTTTCCAGATTTTTTTTTTTTTTTTTTTGAGACAGGGTATCTCTCTGTCACACACGCTGGTGTTCAGTGGCACAATTAAGGCCACAACTTTGACTTCCTGGACTCCAGTGATCCTCACAAGGTATTTGTTTTAACATGATTTGATGTAAAGAGAGCAGTCCTAAGTCCTGTTTGCATCTAGAAAGATGTCAGTCCTTTCCATACTATACATAAATGTATCCTTATTGTTACATCTACAGTCCGTAATCGGGAGGCCTGTTGCTATGGCTCTTGGGCATTACTCAACTGACAACTTTGTTCAAATGAAGGTACTGCCCTATTGTATTAACAGTAATGATACACTACTACCTCTACACTAACTACCTCCACACGTTATGTAGCACTTACAGTTCCAAAGCTCATTCACTCAGGCAATGATCATCAATGGATGCTGAAACCTTATGAAAAAGGCTGATGGTGACAATGGAAAGATCAGCCTGCCAACATTTGAACCCAATGATCGAGCTTGGCATGTGTAAGATTACGTACCACCTATGTTATATATACCACAGGAATTACCCAGCATTGTCTACAAAGTATTCTTTTTTAAATATAGAGAACAGAGGAATTAACTAAGTGTCAATATGCCAGGGCACAATCAGACAAACTGAAGACATTTTACAAAACTAGCCCCAATTTCTCCAGCAAGTCAATGGCATGGGAAAAAACTGGGGAAACTGGGAAAATGAAAATGTTCTTCATTAAAAGAAGCCAAGATTCATAATAAAAAAAATGTCATGAGCAAACTTTATGTTGATGTGATTTGAAAAAACACTGTAAAAGTATAAATATGTATATATTTTAATTATGTCGGAAAATATATGAATGTGAGAGTATTTGATAAGATTAACAAACTAATTTCAATTTTGTTGGGTGTGATCAGATTTCAGCTATAAAAGGACATGTCATTTTTCAGAGTTACATGTGTCAGGGGAAGGATATACAGGGACTCATCATACAATTTTCTCTATTTTTGTCTTTAAACTCTATTACTATGTTTAAAACTTTCAGAATAAAGTTTTTCTAAGTTCATTCTCAAATATTTCCAGACTTATCTACCACACAACAAGCACAGCTTTTTCGATATAAAGATGAAGTTTTTTCCTGGGGTAAGGAACCAATGGCATCATCTGAACATGAAAACTATCCTGAGAATGGGTGGGGGGATAGTATTCACCCTTTTTTGGAGGTGAGAAGCCAAGAATTAGGTTAGGTGACATTCCCAGAACTCAGGAAGAATGATGAGTAGCAGCTGGGACTCTGGTCCTCAAACCCTTTGTTCACGTTACGTGATGCCTAACATCACTGTTAATAGAAACTATGAATGTCAGTGCTTTAATTCCCACTCCATGTATGCCCTTTGTGCGTCTGGACTGCTCTGTGACTGGAAAAATCAATCTTATCTTCGGATTGGAATTATGTGATTATTAAATCAACTGCTAAATTAAAAAATGAAAGACAGCCAGGAAAAGTGTGTATATTATAAATCATAAACGACCCTGAAGAATCTAGAGGGTTTAAGATGATCATTTTGATAGATTGGTCCATTTTAACGACAAAGAACATAATTATGCAAATATTTATTTTGTAAACCATGAAGATGGGCTCAATATTTTGTGACTCACTATTCCCTTTAAAGCACTTAGATTTCAACACTCTGGCCCTTCCTAACATGAACTATCTATTCCAACACCTAAATTTAAAATACTCCCAAACCACTTATCCAAAGAAAAAGGTCCCTGCAGTAGACGTAAAAACATTCAGTTACAAATATGAACAAGCTTCCCCCTTATCTACCAAATGGCATTCTATTACCTCCATTTTTCGAATCGTTTTTAAAGTTTCAATGATCATGGAATTTGCCACCTACCAAGCTAAGAACTCTTACTTACACTCCATCATATACATCAGTCGTACGCAACATCCAAGTAACTCAGATGTCCTGTGACCCACAGATTTCTATGCGTCCTGGAGACCCTCTGAGAGGACTCAGAAGGTAGAAACTGTTTTCTATAGTAAGGCACTATCTGCCTGCTCACTCTAATGACATCCGCACTGTGAGTGAAAAGCAGTGGTAACTTTGCATGTGTTGAGGAAGAGGGGAGGAGGAGGAATAGAGTGACAAGATTGAGATTTAATATTAAAAAGGAAGTTTTATTATTTATTTATTGTTAGAGACAGGGACTTGCCCTCTTGCCCAGGCTGGAGTGCAGTGGCATGAGGACAGCTCACCATAGCCTGAACTCCTGGGCTTCAAGCTCTCCTCCTCGCCTTGGTCTCCGGAGCAGCTGGTACTAGACACGCACACCACGCCTAGCTAGAAAGAATTTTTTGTTTTATTTGAGATGGTGTCTCCCTCTGTTGCCCAGGCTGGAGTGCAGGGGTGTGATGTCGCTTTAAGCGATTCTCCTGCCTGAGCCTCCTCAGTAGCTAGGTTTATGAGCGCTAACCACCACGTCCGGATAATTTTTATATTTTTAAGAGACGAGGTTTCACCATGTTGGCCAGGCTGGTCTCCAACTCCTGACCTCAGGTGACCCGCCCACCTCGGCCTCCCAAAGTGCTGGGATTACAGGCATGAGACACCGCGCCCGGCTGCCCTTCCTCCATGTTTCAATTAGGCACAAATCCTTCCTTAGGCGGAAGAGAAGTCTCAGTATAACAGGGCGCGTCCGCAGAATGCCAACAGGTGGAAGTGGGGATGGGGGCAATTAAGTAAACTGGAGGGGAATAGGGGCATCAGAGGAGGAAAACAGCCAAAACCTGGTGTTCTCCTACAATTCCCACACTTCCATCCCTAAGGCTCCCAAGATGTTGCAGGAAGGGAGGCCGTGAGTGTGAGTTGTCCTGGTCCTTGGCGTTTGGAACAAAGTATTTGACAAAACGCACAAATAAAGTAACAAAGCACAAGAATGAAGCAGCAAAAGCAGGGACTTATTAAAGCGAGAAAGCACTCCACAGGATGCGAGTGAGCCCGAGCTAGCGGCTCGAGGGCCCGGTTACAAAGTTTTCTGGGTTCCAGGTACTCCTTCTGAGGTCCCTATCAGTTACCCCTTATCTGGATGAAGGGTTTGGTCTGTGGCTAATTAAGGGCTTTCGTGAATTGGCGCCCTGTGCAGATGAAGGGATGGCCCGTGTTTGGCCTGCGGCCAATGCAGGGCACGCTCCCTTACCATCTGAGAGGCGCCTGGAGCCTTTGCTACTCGGCGGTGGGAGGATGGAGCTTTTCCTTTTGGCTTGGCTTTCGGACGTTAGCGTTCATTGGCCTCAGGTTCCCGCCCCCAGACCCAGGTGTTTTCCTTTTGATCAGCTTTGGGAAGTCAGCGCGAATTGGCCTCAAGTTCCCTGCACCCAAACCCTATTTTCCAGCCTCAGTGAGACGCCAAGGGTTGGATGTAAAGGGAGCCTCCCAGGGGCGGTGGCAGGACTCTCGCTAAGCCCCTTCCCAGCCCAAATCCTCTGAGTATCATCACCCTCACCCCAAAACTCCGACACCCCGAAACACACAGTCTCACTCTTCCATCCCGACCCCCACGACCACAGGGTCCTCACCACCAGCAGGTTCCTGTCCTCCACCAACTGCCGCTTCCGAAGGATCTCTGATTTCAGAATGTCCATCTCGCCGACAGAATTTAAGCTCCAGTTTCTCGCTCCAGCTCCTCGGACACAGCCCTACTGGGCCGGCTGCCGCAAACCTACTGAATATACAGCCCAACAAGCCCAAACACCTGAGGACAACAACAGACAAGGGCCGCTTCCGGCGGAAGCTGGGATGAGCGAGAGGAGGGAAGAGAGCGCCCCGGGGCGTCTGTGGTGGCCAAAGCAGCTGTGCGTGAGTGCCACCTGGCGGCGCCCTCCGGCAGTGTGCCTGCAGTTTTCCCTATAGGTTTATGTGAACGTGGACTGAAACCTGGGTCTTATAATAATACCCTCTGCACCTGCTAATTCAGTTCCAAAAGCCTTCTCGAAGAACACCTCAATTATGCCAGTTAAATCAAGATCTTTATTAACTGGAAGTTCACATCAGGGTTTCTGAAGTTGCTTGCTTGCAAAATTCGTGTACCAAAGAATGAGAAAAATCTAAATAATAATACTAACTTGTAAGTATAGAATGAAAGGGCAGTGTTCATTACTAGTTCGTTAAATTTCTTGTGAACTTAAATGACTACATCCATTTAAGGCATTTTAGAAGTCAACTTATCTCTACCCCCTCTGCTTTAGATTGCTTCCCAGTCTTGGTGATAACTGAGCATTTACCTCAAGCTAACTAATCACTTTCTTGGTTATGTGTTTAGCAATCAAGATTTTTCAATGACATGACTGGAGATGTAATCAGAAATTCCTTTTTTTTTTTTTTAAGTCCAACTCAACGGGAAAAAAAAA